ACAGCATGACGCAAGAGCGTCGAGTCAGCATAGACTCCAGACGAGAGTCCAGATGTCGAAGCCAGGAAGTCAGCTCAATATGTAGTGTTGACGGCGGGGTCTGGACCCCAGTCCTCAAGTCAGACACGGCCGAGATCGATTGTCCTCGACGGCCTGGATTGAGTTGAAACTGTGTCCTCCTTGGTCCACCGTTCTGACTGGGTACCTGCACACATACAAGTCAATGCACACGACTAAGGGCCTGGGCGAGGTACCTGGACCTACAGTTGACTTCGACCTTTGAATTTCTTGCTGTGCGTGGTCACACAGCACCCGCAGCGGCCTGAAGTCGAGCAGCGCGTGGTCGCACTGCTCGTTGAGCCTGGGCTTGGGTTACAGCGCCCAGGCCGCTGCTGAACGCGGTTTACTGCATTCCTGCCGGCCCGAATTCGAGTTCCACCGCAGAAATACTTAAGACTTCAGTTCGCGTTCATAGCTAGCAACAATATCAGGAGCAGTATCCATCAGTTCCCGTCTGCTAAACCAACGGTCTTCAGAGGCATCTTGGAACTGGAATCTCACTTTATACTGCTTCTGAGGTCTGCCTCTTCCACCAGTAGAAAAGAATCCATGGTCAGTAATTTTCTCAACCTTATAGCTGCCATTCATAGACGGAGGTATAGCAGATGGTCGGTGAGGAAATTCTGTTCCTTCTACATATGGAAGCAGTTAAGACGCGTGAAAGACGGGGCATGTCCGAAGATGAGGGGGAATGCCAATCCGGTATGATGGTCCATCAGCATCCCCTATCACTTTGAGAACTTCCCAAGGTCCTAGATAGACAGGCATCAGTTTCTGAGAAACATCTTCTTCTAGAGTGAACTCTTTGGACTTAACCCAGACCAAGTCACCAACTTGAAAAGTAGACGGGCGTCGGTGTTTGTTAGCTTGTTCAATCATGCGCTCTTGGGTTTTCCTCAGATTCTCCTTCACCTTTTTGATGTCTTCTTGAAATATAATGGCATATCCCTTTGTCCCTGGTGGAAGTCTAAGAAACTGATCCCTGGTTAAAACATCAATGGGACGCTTAGGCTTCCAGCCCTTGTGCAGTGCGTTAGGTGTGCGTCCTGTCGCGGTATGCACACTATTGTTATATGCACCGGCAATCTTGGGTAAGTTCTCATCTCAGTCTATTTGGTCAGGACGGACATACATTCTCAGAAGTTGTTGGACCATACGGTTCATTTGCTCAGACTGGCCATTCGTTTCAGGGTGTCTACCTGACGACATGGTGAGTCGTGTATCGTAGGCCTCCATCAGCTTCTGCCAAGGCATGCTTGTGAACCTGACATCGCGGTCAGATACGATAGACATGGGAAACCCATACTCAGTTACCCATCGCATCTGAAATTTAGCAATCACAAGCTCAGTCTTGGCCTCTGCAGGCAAGGGTATGAACATGGCATATTTAGAGAAACGGTCAACCACAACCATAACTTGACTATTGCCATTTCGGGACTTGGTGAGTTTCATGAAGTCTATGGACACAGACTCACCTGGCTCACTCGGAATAGGTAGTGGTCGGAGTAAGCCCAAAGGGTTCTCATGAGACGGTTTGTTTCTCTGACATACTTGGCACGTACGAACATACGTTAGTACATCCTCTTTCAAACCCTTCCATTCATAGTGCTCACGCACTTCAGCATACGTCTTCTTGAAACCAAAGTATCCCTCTGTGTCATGACATTCCCCAATCAAATTTAAGTTCTTCCTTGTGAGGAATGCACAATCTCTGTTCCGACTGGTCCAACAAGAAGAGTAAGCCATCATACAATCGATAGTGAGGAAGTTGGGATAGGTCCTTGGCTGGGATATTCATGATTGGTTTCCAGACAGGGTCAGTGGCATATCCAACGCGAATCTGATCTTTCACATCATTCCCAACATCCAGGTAAGAGACTATAGCCCCAAAGAAATCACTCCTCCTAGATAGTGCGTCTGCTACAACATTAGACTTACCTTTAATAGTTTTGAGTTCGAAATCGAAGGTATCGATGAAAGCAGACCAACGCACTATCTTCTCAGACAATCGAGGTTGTGTCTTGATCCACTTGAGGGTCGAGTGGTCCGAGTACACAGTAAAATGTCAGCCAAGGAGATAGTGTTTCCATGTCTCTAGGGCGCAGACTAATGCATACAACTCCCTTTCGTAGGTGGAGTTGGCGATCTTTTCACACGGCAGACGTTTAGACATGAACTCGATAGGGTGGTAGCCCTTGCCGTCATCTTGTTGTAAGACAGCGCCAACACCGTACTGGCTTGCGTCAGTTGTGACGATGAAAGGAAGAGACGGGTCGGCAATTTTAAGAACAGGATAGTGGGTCGAAGCGTGTTTCAGCTTTCGAAAGGATGACTCACAATCCTTGTCCCATAGCCAGATAGTACCTTTCTTGAGCAATCTTCTCATTGGAGCAGCGATAACTGAGAAGTTCCTAACGAACTTCCTATAGTAACTTGCTAATCCAAGGAAAGATCGCAGGTCTGTCATAGTCTTCGGCTGTGGCCAATCTCTGATCGTCGAGATCTTCTTTTACTCGGGCCTCAATCCCTCCTCGTTCACTATATGTCCCAAGTACAGGACCTCAGACTTAGCGAACTCGGATTTCTTTGGGTTGAGTTTGAAGTTACCTTCGCGTAACTTCCCGAGTACTAGACGAAGGTGTCGATGATGATCTTCTAGTGTCTTACTATACACTAGAATGTCATCCAAGTAGACAATTACAAAGTCGTCGAGCCATTGCCTAAACAACTCATTCATTGACCTTTGGAAGGTCGCAGGTGCGTTCGTTAGACCAAAGGGCATCATGATGAACTCGTAATGACCATATCTCGTACGGAACGCGGTCTTATGCAGATCGGCGGGATCCACCTCGATCTGGTGGTACCCAGACTAAAGGTCGATCTTGCTAAAGACTCG